CCCCGCTTCCCCACAACTCACAGACAAGCCCCTCTGGATCCATGCGCTCTCTTTGTGTGCATTGCTACAGGCTTTCTCCACATGTCAGATCCCATAATGTAAACCTTTCCTACGACACAGCTCCGAAAACACCAGGCATTCCCCAGAGCTCCATGCTGCGTCAGTGACTCAGCCATTGGCATTCTCCATTCCTTGTGCCACTTTGAACCCAAAGCCCCGGTGTCACAGGATGGCCAAAGGCCACAGGGTATAGCCAGAGGTGACCGCTTTCAAGCAAGATGTAGCCTGAGATTCCTGAATGTACTCTAGTTTGGGAAGATGGTGTCAGAGTGCCAATGTTGGCTGGACCACAAGGCAAATGAGACAGCCGGATTACGGCCCACGGTCATGTTATTATCACCCGACACCAGTCCTGAGAAGTTCCTTTTGCGGATCACACCTTTTAAGAAAAAAAGAGTTACAGAGGACGTGGCCAAATTCCTTGTCTCAGCAATAAACACCCAGAAAGCCATCATACAAAATGTATAAACTCAGAGCTCCATTGCAAATGATGTTTTATACAGTGGGTACCCACTTAGAAAAGCGTTTACAGCCGTACGCTTTCAGTGTATGCCATCTGCCTACTTGAAGGAAAGATATAATAATACTCCTATGCACCAAAGACTTTGTATTTGTGAGTCAGGGGAAGTAGAGGCCATTCATCACTACCTTTTGCAATGCCTTCTCTATATAGCCCCTAGACAAAGGTTTCTTAATCCTATTCTCCACTTTCTAATCAACCTTCCCTTGAGCAGATTTGTATCGTATTGGTGGGCAGCGATGCAGATATTACCACTATGGTTGCAAAATTTGCCTTGGTCGCAAGGATGTTAAGATCTAGGCATCAAAATCATTCATAAGAATTACATGGAGGTGATGAAGATACATGGTATCTAATCCAGGGGGCTTTTAATTGAATCTGCATTAATGATGATTTTATATTTTTGCATTTGTATATTTGTGTATCACTTGCTTGTTACCTGTATTCTATTTTAAGTTTATTATTGTTATTGTAGTTTATTTGTTTCCATTTGACCTTAATTACATTGAATTGTGATGGCTAATAGCTTTTAGCAATAAACAAACCCAATTAAAAGGTCCTTTCTGGTGCCACAACAAACTACAGTCCCCAAAATTTTATAGCACTGAGCCGTGGCAGTTAAAGTGGTGTCAAACCAGATCATTTCTGCAGTGTGGATGCATCTTTAGTCTCCAGGATAAGACAGGATCTGTTTTTTTAGCATATTTCTGCAAGGAAGGGCCTGTTTGCCATTCCTACCAATATTCTCCAGCCCAGAGGCCCCTTACAATCTAACATTCAGCACCTTGGATTTAAAATCTGTAACAAAACCTAGTGTGGATTCACTGTACCACAGCAAGCAACAGGCAACAGGGTTCTGCTCTGCTTTTGAGAGTACGAAAAGGCTCCAAATCCTCAAAGCAAAGTCAATCGATGTGGAAGCTGAGACTTGAGGAACACAGAGAGATGGCACCATCAGTGCCTCTTGTCGTTTCTTCCCATCCCTTTTCCTCTGCTTCTCTTGAATAGATGTAGTGAAGGAGAAAGAAAGCAAGAGAACAGCTTGGCTCAGAAAGGAAGGCCTCTTTTGTTTTTCTCTTAAGTCTCGTAGGGTGGGGAGGGGAAAAACTGCCTCTGGTGTGGCGAGCCTCTTGTGCTATTATCAAAAGCTTCTTGCCGGTACTTTATGTCTTTCTCAGTGGAAAAGGGAGAGAACAGGAGTGGGTTGAATGGAGAGACACTTAGGGGATGCGTACTGCGCATGAGCAGCAACAATAGCAACAAATGCAAGTAACATGCTTTCTGATCGGCTTGCCACCCGATTATTGCTCATAACAGGGGCCTGACCACCTTCTAGCCATCCCAAAGCACTTGTGCAATGGAGTTTGCAGCATCCATAGCGTGGTAGCTCAACACACATGCTCCGTAATCTGCACATCCTTAGTGGCTGCATTTGACCCTTTTGCAGATGGAGGATGATGGAGGGGAAGCAAACTTTGGTTGTTTACAGTGAGAACGCTAGACTTAGCAATCTGAGAAGGGAGCATTCCCTAGTTGTTGTTTTAGATTCCCTCAAGTTGACTTTGACTCAGGGCAGCCTTGTAAGAGACTCCTCCAAGCCCCTCTGTCCTCCATCCATCTGCTCAGATCCTGCAGTCTTAGGTCCATGGTCTCCTTGATTGAATCTATCCATCTAGTATGTATCCTTCTTCTTTTCCTACTACCCTCCATCTTTCCTAGCATTATTGTCTTTTCTAGTGAGTCCTACCTTCTCATGATGTGGCCAAAGTACAACAGACCCAATTTAGTAATCTTGGCTTCCAGGAAGTGTTTCAAGCTTGATCTTTTTGTTTGACCTCAGCACTCTTCTCCAGCACCACATCTCAACTGAGTTGATTTTCTTTGTATCGGCTTTCTTCACTGTCCATCTCTCACATCCAGGAAAATATAATGGCTTGGACCTTCCCAGCTTTGGTATTCCGTTTTATATCTTTGCACTTTGCCCTTCCCAATTGCAATTCCATAA